CCTGCTTTTAAGCCAGCAACGGTCCATCACACTGTGGCCTCCTGCTCTTAGCCTCACATTCCTCTGTAGGTTGGCTTGGATGAGGGCCAGTTGATACCCTTTGGACTCTGATGGTTTAGGAGTGCTGCCGAGGAAAAGGAAGGGGAAGAAAGAAAAGGAGAGAGATTAATTCATATTGATGAGGCTGCAAATGGGACTGAGCTGGTAAAAGATCATAAAATATTGAGAAGGAAGCAATGCCCTACTAGGTCATTGGGGGGAGGAGGGCTAAAATTCCTTTGCCTTCCCTTTCATTCTGAACTTTCATTATGGGTATCCTTTCTGGGCTAAGCTTTCATTATAGGTTCTGGACTGAAATTCCAGTGATTTGTCCATAGTATGACACTGAAATCTTAACTGGTAGAATTCCTTGTCCCATATTTTTTGTTTTGGAATTGGCTGGTTCTTTTATGTCAAAGCTGCTGTGTCTTTAACACTGATACCAGAAGAAGGAATACCACAGGTACATCTTGATATCCCTAAGGGAAGTAGAGTAGATTAATTTCCAACTGTGGGTGATGAATGACATGCAGCATTAAGCACTGTGGCATAATATTTTCCTTCTATACAGATTATATTTTTGATTAATATGTCCCTTTAAAAAAAAACTTTGCTGTCACTGGAATGGTAAACTCATACCATTGTGTTTTTTTTATTCACCGAGGTGGGCTGTACCACCTCTAATCTCAAATATTTTTCTCCTCTCTCCATGCACCCAAACATCCTTTTTCCTCCCTACCTTCTTCCTCCAGGGGCCAAGAAAGATGTTTAGACAGTATGTATAGTTTTCTTTCAAAGTTTAATCATTTTTTGTTTTGGATTGTGGCTGTATCAAAAAATTTTCTTCCTGATATTTTATGTGTTTATTGTTCTAAAGCAACCCACTTTGGGAAGGATTTGGTCTGAAAGGCAATGTATCAATATTTTAAAAAGATAACAATTCTGTCTGTATTATTTATTAAGTTATCTGTAGATCGGCTATATAAGTGGACCCAGGTTGCCATGCTTAATGGGAGAGCCCAAGAAACAATGTGGATTTTCTCCAATCAAGAGTCTGATATATGCTTTGAATTCTTTGGTTATCTAAAATGGAAGTTGAAATCAAAACATCTGGAGAACACTTAGGGGATAGGCTGTATCTAATTTGGGAGGAAGATCAAAGCCTTGAATGGAGGCATTGGAATCTATTGTTCATTGTCTCCAGCTTCACCCCTTTATACTGCAGTCTTTCTATTCTTCCAAATGCGAGGTTATTTCTGATGTAATCTATTGCCAATTATTGCATGGAGTATATACCAGAAGGGGCTGAATCCCTTCCTCTCTTACATACATATTCACACACTATCCTTTCTCTCAAGAAGTAGGCTTTGGAGGCCAGCAGGATGGAAACAGTAGCTCTTATTAGGGGGCTCGGATTGTTCTCTGGTCAAGGATGTTTCAGATTAAGCAAAGGGCTACAGATGAGCTGCTTCTTATAGTGTCTGGTGTCAATAGACCTGAGTTCAGTGAATCAATAGCTGATTCATCATAAGACAACTTCCTATATTTCTGTAGGATAAGACCTGTCTTACTACAATCATTGGGGGCTTTCTCAACTAAGCCCACCTTCACATTAGACTTAGATGTTATGGAGGAAAGTTGTGTACTTGTTAATATTTCAGAACGAGGAATGTGGATTTGTTAAATCAATGCGCTTTGCATAGCACAATGTGCTCTTTTTCTTCTTCAGTCTCTAATGCACATTCTTCTTTGAAACCCTAGAAAGATAATCTTCATGTAACTGCAACTGAACAAGACAAACAGGTCAGGATCATTTTAAATGTATTAAAATTACAAGGAAACACTGCAAGGAAGGGCAGATTGTTCTGACACTCAGTACACCCACCAGACAATCATTTGATTAAGTGCCCACAATGTGCTCCCTAAAGTCCAAACATGTCTATAGATCAGAAATAGCAGGGATAGTTAACCCTTTTCAGCCTAGGTTACAAGTCTTCTTTCTGAATTGCCTGGAGGCCTCAAGAGATGTGTCTGATGGTATTGAGATACCATTGAAAAGGGGGGGGCCAAATGTTTAGAACTTCTTTTATAGGTTTGCAGATTATAAGGTATCATTCCACTATACATGAACCATACTAAGGTAACATAACTGTGCACTGATAATCTAACTTTTATTTTATTAATTTCTATACATAATGGTTATTTCCCCAGTGATGATTATCACCAGCATGCTTTCAAGCCAACGTTTTCTTCCTATTAATACAAATAGCAACTGTTACTATGAAACTTCCAACTTTGAAAAAAAATCAAAATTATTTTGAGATGTTCATACCTTTCTTACCAGTTGTCTTGTTTAGCAACTGTTCAAAGTTGCAAACATTGAATAAAAAAGCAACTTTGTGATTAATACTCGCACTTACAACCGTGACAGAGTCCTGCAGATACATGGTCCCTTTTTGCAAGTTCCATAACCAAATATGCACAAGCAGAATTAATAGAGAATGTGGAAGAGAAATGGAAGGCAGTCGCATGGTGTTCTGTTTAACGACACAATTGATTCACTTAATGACAGAAGTGATATCAGTCTGGGATAGTCGCATGGTGGGGTTTGGTTTTGGGGGGGTTTCCTTAGTGACTGTGGCACTTAGCAATGGAATTGCTGGTTCCAATTGTGGTCAGTAAGTAAGGACTACAGCTACATGAAAGATGGAGAAAATTCCTCAACAGGGTAGTCAGTCCTTTGTATTAAACTAACTTTTTTTTAAAAAAAAGTGGGTATAAGTAGTCCTTGACTTACAGCCTTTCATTTAGTAACCATTCAAAGTTATAACAGTACTGAAAAAAGTGATCTATGACCGTTTTTCACACTTGCAACCATTATAATATCTCCATGGTCACATGATCAAAATTTGGATGCTCGGCAACTGGTTCATATTTATGACTGTTGCAATGTCTTGGGGGTCATATGACTGCCTTTTTTGACTTTCTGACAAAACCAATAAGGAAGCCAGATTCATTAACAACCCTGTTACTAAACAATTGCAGTGATTCATTTAACAACTGTGGTAAGAAAGGTCATAGAATGGGACAAAACTCACTTAACTATTTTGCTTAGCAGTGGAAAATTTGGGCTAGATTGTGATTGTATCCTACCTGTGTGTGGACAATCTGTATATGGATTCTCCCTCCTAAATATTTTAACTTTCTGCTTATGACAGGCGGCCTTAATATTTTCCAATGAAGAGGTATGTTGGTGTATATGTGTGTGATCCAAACATGGGAAAATAACTGGTGATAAGCATTTCTTATCAGTTAACGGTATTTCTTACTATTTAATGAGTGAATTGCTTTGTTTCTGGTCATGTTTATTTTCTATGGCATGTTTGTCTAGAAGTTGTTTGGTTGTTGTTGGGTTGGGGTTTTTTAGTTATAAAATGCTATACAGATTTTGAAAGCAAAAGAAAATTTTTAAGCATTCAGATCTCTGAAAGATTTGAGACTGCCTTTTTTTCTCAGAATTTTAAAACATGGCAAATCAGTGCATTACAGTCGGATTAAAAAGAGAACTTATGGTTCCCGGATATTTTTAGATTCCTATAAATTCCAGTCAGGAGGTAATATTTATCAAAGGTCGGAATTATAGTTCAACAATGTAGAAGACCATTTTTATGGCAATCACCTATTTTGCCAATCATATAAATATCACTGATTATCCTTTAAAACAGGGTTCTCCAACATTGGCAACTTTAACACTTGTGGACTTCAGCTCCCAAAATCCTTCAAACTGGGGAATTCTGGGAATTAATGTCCACAAGTTTTAAAGTTGCCACGGTTGGAGACCCCTGCTTTAAAAGAAAAGGGCTCTAACTGATGAGCCAAATGAAGTGAATACTGCGGACAGTTCCTGAGAATATTTTGGCAGGGAAAAAATGTTCTTAAATCAGACCACCAGCCAAAAATGCTCTTTTCCAGGAGCTTTGCAGAAGTGTCTAACAGAACTCTTGTCACAGATCTCAAATAGAGATATGTAATTTGGTGCTGGCCAGATGTTTTGAACTAAAATTTCCAAACTTTGAGCAACAATGCCTGATATAAAGGATCACAGAAGATATATAGCCAAAATACTGAAAATATGTAGAGAGAAAGAGAGATGACATTGGCAGAGAGAGGCCATATCTGTTACCAAAAAAAATGAAGGGAAATCATGATTTAAACAGGGAGAAGGAATACCTAACCTTCTTAACCCACATGAATATAATAGGAGAGTGGATGGAAAATAAAACACAATCAAACGTGTGAGATTCTGTTATTATAAAGTAGCCTACCTATTTCTTAATCTGGTTACATTGTGGGGTTAGCAAGAATAAAGACGAGGAGGGAGCCACATTCAGAGTTGTAAGATTCTGTTATTGTAACCCTATTAAAAAGTAGCTTTAATGTTCATGACTGCGCTCATGTTTGATCTACCTTGATGGACTGACATTCATCTTGCAACTCCCACCACCACTCACCACCACTTTCCTGCTTTTATTCTAAAGAGAACTAGGTAGGGTCATTGGGGGTCATTGCTTTCTCAAATTCAATCCCTGATTTGGGCTGAGATTTCTATTACCTGACCATTGCCTTGGCTGTGTCTTTTTCTTCTCTTCTTCAAGGTTCTTCTCATAGTCCATTACACCTACCCTAATCTCATACCTGATATAGCTGCTGTCAGAATTGAAAATAATGCAACACGTTGTATTGCCCGAATACAGCAAATCAGTAGTATCTTATCTAGCACTTATCTATGTATACATGTGTGGGTATGCAGGCCACTTCCCAATGTGAGATCTTCAATGCAAGATGTGATCCAGGCACAGCTGGCAGAAGGCTGTCCAGCCTCTAACTCAATCATTTCAGTGAAGGTTTTCTTTTAACTAAGGATCTGAAATCATTCCATTTCTTTTCCCATCTTCTCATAGGAAAAAGCGGACCTTGGCGAATTGAATTTTTCCCTCTGTTACCTACCCACTGCTGGTCGTCTCACGGTTACCATCATTAAGGCTACCAACCTCAAAGCCATGGACCTGACTGGATTTTCTGGTGAGCAGATCTGATGAAGTTTGGATCATGACCAGTAGTTCCTAGACTGTTGGCAGTAGAGCAGTAACTTTGACTTAGAGGGAGGCTACTCAGGGGAAAAGGACAGTAAAATGAAGAAAGCAAGCTAAATATCAGAATTCAAGTGTTGGCGAACTGTCAGGCACGGTGGGCAGGAGAAATCAGAAGAAAAATTAGAATGTACTGATATATGTTTACAGTTTGCTACAGATTAATAAAACATCCTGACTCCAGATTATTTTAAAGTAGTAAAAAAAACCTACAAAAATTTACTTCTCCCTGCTCTTTCCCCTTTTTTCTAACCTAAGTTGGATTGTGCAAAAAAAGGAACAAAAAAAGGTGCAATGGAATAGTCCGCTATGGGATATTATGTGAAAGAATTTGCACAATGGAAGAGGTTTTTTTACGTTTAATGTTCTTGGTTTTGAAAAATGCAGACAACATGTATGTGGGGAAGCCTTAAGAGATTAATCTCATAACCAGGAGAGAAACTTTAACTTTTCCTACTACAGTCTGTCTGACTTCCCCTGCTTTGGATCATGTTAAAGCAAAATCATGTTTTTAACATGACATGTCTTTGGGCCTCTATTCTCTTGCTAAAACAAATTCATGAGTGGAGTGTGTTTCTAAGGTGTGCTGCCCACCTGAAGCCCCTTTTTTTGCACTTAGGCCTGGTTTGTTTATTTTAAAGTTTTGGTAAATTGGAATCCTATTCTTTGTAAATGTGGAGGTAGAATGGCAGCAGGAAATGAAAGGAGGAGCTTCGGTGTGTGTGTGTTGACTTCACAGAAGCCTAGGATTTAACAAGGAGGAGATTCAAATGTAGGTAAGAATTTGAGGTCAGTCACAAATAAGAACATTGCCAGGTGTGGAGGGTGGCAATCTAATTACCTGCAGATCTTTGGGATGTATCTCCTAAAGCCTGATCCTTGCCACACTGTTTAGGGTGGTTGAAAGCTAAAACGTGAGACCTCTAGAGAGCATCAGGCTCCTTATTCCTGCCATCAGCAAAGGAGGCAGCATTTAGAATTAGGGCAGAGAAAGCAGCAAAAGGGGTTGCTGAGAAGGAAACAAGACAAGTGTAAGATGGGTCCTGTTATGCTTCATTGCTATTACAAGGACATAGTTCAGCTTCAGATGAGCAAATCTGTCAATTTTTGTTTTATTCAGCATCTCTTTTTTACCATGTTAATGATGTTTGGCCTGTTTTCACAGCAGTTTGTAAAGGCTGTTGTTTATTGCTCCTAATAAATACTTTCTTATCTGTGATTTTTCTAGAATGTTTTTGCATAGTTTTTTTTCCTAATAGGCTTTTTCTAACCTATGCTTTTTTCTATGCACATTGTTCCTTAAGCCGTGTCTTTTGCACATCTTTTTTAAAAAGTTGTAATTTGCATTCTGTGTGAGCTGGGGTTTATTTTTGGTTTGCTTGTACATTTGGGAAAGATGAACTCAATCAGTTTGCATAAACATACAGACAGAATGAATTTTTCTACTGCCTCTAGTTAGGGATATACATCTCAGTGACAGTTGTCATGGTTGTGACTCTGGAGGATGCATCTTAACAGAAAATGCCAAGTCAGTTTTGAAAAATTGATCCTTGGTGCTTATGATGACAATCAGAGCTCAATCCTCTATGGAAGAGGGGGGGGGGGAGGAAGGACTTGCAGTTATAAATGACCAGGAGAGAGTGGGACTTTCTCAAAGCAAGTCTGGCTTTTAAGGATGCTTGTAGTGGAAAACTGAAGAGCAGATGATGTTCTATGGTGGTAACTTTCCTATATAATCTGGAATTGCAGATTAGGTTTGGTGGGCACAGCCCCACTTATATCTATGATATACCTTCTGCCAAAGAAAACAGCTTGGGTTTTGTCACAGGTCTATTGTGGGGGCAGGGCCAGCCTGAAACATTTTGCTAACCGGTATTTGGCTGATTACATGGAAAGTTTGTGAAATAGTAGGTCATTAGGGGAAAAAAGGTTATATATAGCCCAGCCTATTCCCTATAATGCTACTTTTCTTCTTGTGAAAATTGCATCCTAAAAAAGGGATTCTGAATTGTGATTAGCCTCCTTGCAAGTTCTGCCATGCCATTCTCCTGCATATGGTTTTGGACCTTATGATACGTTGTAGTGGACAGCATATGTCCTCACTAAGCACTTGCCGTTCTCACAACCATGAAAACCTCATTCATTTGCCATTGGAAAAGATTCCTGTCAGTGCTCAATCTGGAAGTCTAAACTCCTTGAACTCAAAGGAATAAAAATTACAGATCAGAAATGGGGATGGGGCAAAATGTTAAAGACAGAGAGGCTACAGGTGAAGGCTCTTGGTATTCATTTGGCTTGGCTTCTTTCCCCTGTAAACCTGGACCACTTTTCTCTTATCTTTTGCCTGCATCTTTTCAGATCCCTATGTCAAGGCATCCCTCATGTGTGAAGAGAGACGCTTGAAGAAGCGTAAGACTTCCATCAAGAAAAACACTTTGAACCCCAGTTACAATGAAGCTCTTGTCTTTGACATTCCCCAGGACAGCATGGAGCATGTCAGCATTACCTTGGCAGTCATGGATTATGATTGGTAAGATATATCATATCCACCCAAATTCCGGTAAGTTAAACAGAAGACTTTGGAGAGAAGTCATTTCAGCCAGTGATGGGTCAGCACTTTCCTTGATTCTACTTTCAGCGAAAGAGTCCTGTCTTTAGGACATTGCAGAATTTGGGGCACAACGTGCAAGATGGCGACACAGAATAGGATGTTTTGGGGAGGGATATTGGCAATTCTTACCAGCTATGGATGCTGTTGCACAATTTCATAGAACAGCTTGAATTTATCCCCACCCCCCACCCCCAATCATTGTGAGAACACATAAATTAACATTGCAATGTCAGAGCATTCAGGTTATTTTGTTTGGTACATCTTGTTAAGTCAGATGATGTGTTGCTAGTTCACAGGTTAGTGAAGAATAGTGCAAAAAAAGATATCTTCTGGAATTATATTAAAACTACTAAAGAATGGTTACAGCCCATTAGGAGTTCATTTTACTTTTTTTAACAAAGATGCAGTAGGTGGAATTTAGAGCCAAGTTTGCTCCACGTTCTCTTACAAATGTAGAGTTATGCAGTGAGGACAGTGCATAGAGAGCCTAGTCTAGTCTAGTCTAGTCTAGTCTAGTCTAGTCTAGTCTACTCTACTCTACTCTACTCTACTCTATTCTATTCTGTCCTGGCAGGTGGGACCTTATGATGCAATACATACAAAGAGAAACAGATTAGCAGGATAGCGGTTCTTTGTTGTTATTAGTTGCGAAGTTGTATTCGATCATTGCAACCCCATGGACAACGTTCCTTCAGAATGTTCCTTCCTGTCCTTTATTATCCTCTGGAATCCATTTAAGCTCACGTCTACTGCTTTGGTGACTCCATCCAGCCACCTCATTCTCTATCGTCCCTTTCTTCTTTTGCCCTCAATCTTTCCCAGCATTAGGCTCTTCTCCAGTGAGATCTTCCTTCTCATTAGGTGGCCAAGTATTTTAGTTTCATCCTCAGGATCTGGCCTTCTAAAGAGCAGTCAAGGTTGATCTCGTCTGGGACTGACCTGTTTGATCACCTTCCAGTTCAAGGGATTCACAGGAGTCTTCTCCAGCACCATAATTCAAAGGTCTCAATTCTTTGGCACTCAGCCTTTCTTATGGTCCAACCTTCACAGCTTCACCCTGCCAACAAAAGTGCATATAGTCAAGGCTATGGTTTTTTCCAGGGGTACTTAAATACTAGTATTTAAATATTCAACATATTATTTTGCTGCAGAAATAGAAAAAAAAAACCCTGATACACTTTGTTAGAACAAAATCAGCTTTGTTTAAATATCCATTTCAAATCCCGTCCCCAGCTTTTGAAAATTATTTTAGACGCTAAAATGGAATATGACATAAATAAGCTTAAAACATAGCATTTTTAAACGGGGGGGGGACTTAATATTTCAGTGTCTCTGCATCCCTAATATAGCATTTTGAAGTAAAGCATACAAATAATCCAATAGCTCACAGATAGGTTAGCACCTATCAGCCTTTGGCTGATACCAAAAAACTAATCAGACCTGATTAATGTTTGAGTGGGAGAGCTGCATAAAACCTAGGACCATTTGCTAGACTACACATTTTGTAAAAATCTAGAATATGGCAATGAAAGTGTTTTGGATCATGGCATCATAGACAATGAATTTAAGGGAGTCTTTGGTTTTTTTTTTAATGCTAATCACATAAGGTTGACATTTTCCTCCATCTCTGTGAGAGGCTGTCTCTGAAATAAGTCTCTTCTTCCACAGCATTGGGCATAATGAAGTCATTGGCATGTGTCGAGTGGGCAATGATGCTGATGCACCCGGGAGAGATCATTGGGCTGAGATGCTGGCAAATCCACGTAAGCCCATTGAACATTGGCACCAGCTAGTAGAGGTGAGTGTGATATTATGAGACCACCAGGTCTGATCTGTGTCCAACCCATTGCTTCACTGGAAACTAAAAACTAAACTTAAGTGCCAGATCAGGAAGAAACAGGGGTAATGAACTAGTCATTCTGCAATTTCTCTGTTAAGCACTAAGCTATTCTAATCTGCTGCCTTGGGCATAGGATAGAGCAGTGTTTCTCAGCCTTAACAACCTGAAAATTTGTGGACTCCCAGAATTCCCCAGCTAGTCGTTTTAAAGTTGCCAAAGTTGAGAAACACTGGGACGGAAAGACAAAGAGAAAAATGGGGGAGCCTATGAAGTGGCAGGATAGAATGAAAAACATGCTTCTCTGTCTTAATTATGACACTATTTCACCCACATATTGCTTAATTCCCACCCACTATTGTCATTTAGCACCTTCCATGATTCCTTCCTTCCAAACAAATGTGGCCCTTGAAACAATAAAAGCTGCCCATTCCTATAACTAAGAATGCAATAAATTACTCAGTGTATTCCTTTTATGATCTGTCTTTCTCTCAGCTTTTACGGTAATGATGTAGCTCTAGACTGTTGGCTAAAATTGTTGTGCCTCTTATGTATTCTGGTATTGCAGCTGCACAGTACCGTTCCAAGAACTTAGTAGTGCGTCCTGAATACAAAGCATGGTTCATGAAGAATGCTGGAAGACTCACTGACACAGTGGAATAACATTCCAGAATAACTGAGAAACAACGGGCTAAAAGTTTTGGGAAACTGTCAGGATTTTATAAATTGGGACAGAATATGGAGTTGGGGTTTCTGGATCCTTTTTTGGGGGGAAGACATAGTTGGGAGGAATGGGGGCCAAGTTTGGGCCATCTCTTCAAATCTGAGTCCGTAAGTCACGGTGCTCTGGCAGTGGCTGGAGAATCTTTTGTGTCTCTGACCTTTTTCTCTTTGCTGCCTCTGATTTTTCAGGAGAAGACTTTGAACAGCTATATCAACAAGAATCCTCCAGCTCGAGACAAACCTAGCATCATAGTAGAAAGTGTTCATTCAGACTAAAGCAACCACCAGCAGCCCTTTGCCACCAGGGACTGTAAGTGTCTTAGAGAGATAGAAATGGGATGATAAATGACATATACCTTCTCAATTTTGGTAGAAGCTGTAGCAAATCGGAGACACCTATCCTCCATGGGTGCCCTGGTTACTACATTGCTCTTTTATAAGATGAATGCCAGATAGTTCACCAAATTGATGCTATATGGGGCTTCCTAAATATGACCTTATTTAGGGGGCCTATGGCCAGTAAGTATTGGATCCCTTATGGCAGAGCAAATCAAATAATACATGCACACACAAAATACTTTAAGATTGGCTATAACAACACCTTGCAGGTCCGGTTGTGCATTCCCTCCTCCCTCTTTTATATTCATATGAATTAGGGGAGTGTCTGTCTGAGACATTTTCATAATCACACACACACACACACACACACCGGTCGTCTGGATTCAAATAAAGTTTCCCTCTTTATTGCTTTGGTAATAAATCTTCTCTTTCCCCATCAGGATCATCCTGTGTACTCTATTTACAGTCATCAACTTAAAACACAAAGAAGGCCCTCCAAAATTAATCAGTGTGCTTGAGTCCTACTAATGGGAGGAGATGTTCCTAAGATATTACGGGTCCAACTCATTTATAGATAAGCACTGTAATTTGAACTGGATCTAGTTCAATTTCTAGTTAATATAAAAGTTGGTTTTGAAAGAAGTGATAAATGGCCTTCATTCTTTTTTCTTTCAGGGTTCCAGTAATGTGCTCTCAGAACTTTCTGGAGTGTTAACGTTTCCTCAGATCCATCTGAGAGGAAGTGCCAATAGGAGATCATCTGAGGGAAGGACTGCAAGTTCCTGCTTCCCTCAATCCCCATCTTCCCCAGAAAGTTTGCTGCCTGATGCATTTTTCTTTTCAAAAGCCATAAGGGCAGCCATCAAAGAGCATTTTTCTTGTGGGAGGGATATATTGTATCCGGAATTAAAAATAAAAAAGACCCCTCCCCCTAGCTTATCTAAATGGGGGTGGGATCTTTTTTGACATGCATGCTATTGGAGTCTTTGTTATGGAAAGAGTCAAAATGGTAAACTAGAAACCTATGCTTTGTTTTTCAAAATTGCTCATTGGACAGGAATTCAAGAGGTTCCCCTTTCCCATGGAGCTACAGTGGGACCTCGGGTCATGACCACAATTTGTTCCACAACCTTGGTTGCAACCCGATTTGGTTGTGGTCTGAGCCGTTCATGACTTGAGGTCCCACTGTATTTAGTAGAGTCCTTCAGACTGTTAAACGTACAGTCTTATTCAGGAGGCATAATAGGGGACAGGCATGGCAGGCAACCATTCTTCCTTCTACATCCTATCCTGTGTACGGGCGTCAAATCTTCTCACGGCTGTGACCTTAGAGCCAGGTGACTGTTAACCCTTCCTCTCTTTCTTGTTTTCTTTTCACAACAGATCTTTTGAAGGCATGAAGGAATGTCTTTGTGGGTGCTTGGTCTGATAGGGGTGGGGGCAGAGTTTCTGCATAGTACCAGAAAGCATGCAGCACCCATTACCTCAGTCTTCATGAACCTCCAGCCCAAGAATAGGAGGGAGGGAGAAGAAAATTGCCATTCTTTCCTCATCACCCAACCTTGATAGACAACTGTGTAAGTGACCCAGGAGGACTCCCTGTGGACATCCCTGCCAATTTGCCCTGCTATGCCTTCTGCATCAAGGACCACCATGGAATTACCTTCCTACAGATTAACATCAGGCTTGTGACATCAAAATGGCTCCATAATGGACTAAATTAAGGCCTACTTTCTAACCTGGAATTAGATTTGGGCTCAGCTTAAGTCCAAATATCAACAGCCAGTTCTGGACTCTTTCATATGTATGTGTAAATGTTTGGGGGTGAGATAATAGTGTGACTCCTTTCCTAAGTCTCATTAAGTTTGCTGCTTCTGGCTTTTGCATGGTCACCCTCCACTCAGTTTGAGTGTGTTGAGTGCTTCCCAGATTTAAGCTAGGACAGCCTCTTGGTCAGAGAATCAAGACGTCCTGGTTCTCACCACTCAAGTCTCCACTGTGTTATTTCATTATGTACCCCCCCCACACTCCATTTGTTTTTAAATTTGGAATGTCTTTCTTTTTCTTGTTCTCCCCCTAAGTGCATCCATTTGTCATTTTGTCTTGGTCTCTGAAACTCAGTCCTGTTTATGGTTGTTTTTTTGTTCTAATTGTGTGAAATAAAGGGAGGGGGAGGGATAAAACAGGAGAATTAGCCCTGCTTCCTAAACTTCTGTCGCCCTTTTTTTTGGGAAAAGCCATATACTCTCCCAATTGCTTGGCTATAAATTTCTGGCATTAATGGGAGAGGGAGGGGGCCGGAAAGTGATCTCTCTTCACAATAGTTTGGAACTTGAAGTTGCTGCTAAAACCATGACATCAATAAAACTGGAAGAAAAACAAGAAAAAAAGTATCTCTGGAATTCAAGACTCTTTTGAACAAAGGTGGAATATAGCAGTGGAGATAAATGAAGGAGTTGAACCTGTATTCAGCATTCTACCAATATATTCTGATAAAGCGGAGATGTATATGCTCTTATTTCATCAGAAGAGAGAAATACGCTCTTTAGCTGGAGAGACTTGTATTTTCATCTGTTGTAGAGTAAGGCAACTTTATGTATCTCAACCACACCACGCCAGAAAAAGTGAAGCAAGCTGATAAATTCTACTGGCAGCCAAGAATCAAGCTTTTTTGTTACTGTGGTTGTATCCCATCATTCCTCTTGCAGATTAAAATAGCACATACAGGTAGTCCTTGCCTTATAATGTAATTGAACCCAACATTTCTCTGGCCAAGCAAGACACTTCAGTGAGTTTTGCTACATTTTATGATCTTTCTTGCCACAATTGTTAAGTGAATCGTTGCAGTTGTTAAGTTAGTCACATGGTTGTTAAGTGAATCTGGCTTTCCCATTGACTTTGCCTGTCAGAAGATTGCGAAAGGTGATCACAAAAGCCTGGGATACTGCAACTGTCATAAATACAAGTCAGTTGCCAAGCATCTGAATTTTTATCACATGATCATGGGGTTGCTGCATTGGCCCCGAGTGTGAAAAACAGTCGTAAGCCATTATTTTCTGTGCCATTGTAACTTTGAGCAGTCACTAAATGAATTGTAAGTTGAGGACTACTTGTATTTGAGAGTTGAGCGAGGTCACATTCTTAAATCCTCTAAGGAAGGTGCATTAAGAAAGTGACTGCCCTGAAGGCTCCCAGTGATCTCCCGAGTTTAACTAAAGATTGGGACCCCTATTTCCATCCTAGTCTTATTCCATAGTTACCTTCAATTGGTATAATAAGACAGAACAGATAGGTTACCTAATATTTTATATTGGAGATTCTACTTGGGTTGCCCAGATGGATTAGCATGCCTTGCCCATTCCCTCGCCTTGACAAATTTTCTGGGAGCACCAAAAGTCTGCATGCCACTTTGCTTTGGAGTACTCTAGATTCATAGTGCATTCGTATCTTATACAAGAATACAGGCTCAAGGGACAAAAAGTTAAACGAACAATAATATTTGTAGAGCCTCAGAGAATTTGGGAGAGTTGACTGGTTTCTAAATATTCCAGAACCACTTTTGCTTGAATCCTGTGTCAAAAATTTCCCTTGATCCAATCAGTGAGAAGGGTCCTAACTTATCTCCTTCCTGTCATGCTATGTTTCTATATAAGGAGGATGTTATAAAAATTCTATTAAAGATGTTCGCCAGAGTACAGCGTTTTCCCTGGAGATGTATGCCTATAAACAGGAGAGCACAAATATCAATATGGTAGAATAATGATGAGTCAAGTCTACAGGCAATCTTCCTCCTCAGTACAATTCCAGGCCTAAACAATACAACTCCCAAGCAGAGCTGAGATGGGTAACAACTGGGACTCTGCTGTTTAAGAACCCCAAAGCCAATGTTTCTTAAGGCTGCTTGAGGAGAGTGTCTCCAGAATGTAACATTGAGACTAGTTTGGAAATGGTAACTTTGTTTGATTAAAAAAAGTATCTGGGCCTCAAGTGAACAAAACAAGTAGTGTGTGGTTGTTATATAAGGCTTATCTGGGCAAAGTCTCACTTGGGTCTTAGAATTGTTAGGTATAGGTCCCAATATCCAAACCAACCACATGACTAGGCATAGCTGTGCTAAAACTCTTTTTTTTTTTTACTGCCATAACATTCACCCTTCAGCTGGTTCTACTTATGCATCATTGGACTTCTCCCCCCGCCCCCCATTTTCATTATTTTACCCATAATTCAAAACTTCCTCAATAGGATAGCTCAGCATCCTAAAACAAGTATTTGGATTTTGACCATATAGCCACAAGGTCCACATTTTGCAATTTTTTCCCCCACTGTGAGTAGGAACTCTCTTGACTTGATTTGTTTGAGAATCCATGTGTTTGTTTTATTGGCTGTTCATAGTATTCTCAGGAGTATTTCCAACACCCAACTTCAGAAAGGCCGATACCCTATCCTTATTCTTTTTTATTCCAAAATTCATCACCTATCTTAGTTATAATGGAGGCATCATAATCACACTGCCACTGTCAATATAATTCTGCACCTAAATTTGACACCTTGGCTGCAAATTCAACTGGGGAGAGCAGCTCCCTCCTTCTGCACTGCCATTTATTAAGCTTGAAGTTTATTTGTGGAAGAAAATATCCCATTTCTAATTCCTCTGCCAGGGAATAAGAGGTAAATAGAAAAATAGTTTTTTCATACGGAAACATGACACTTTGCCAAAACAGGAATTATATATGGCTCATCATGCAGTTGATCCACAGCCAGAGTTACAGAATCTTCTATCATTCCACATCGCCATGCTTGGCTGTGCTCCATTGGATTGACAATGGAAGCTAAGACTAAAATTGAGGACCTTCTCTTCAATGAGGATGGATTGCTTAGCTGTAATACTGATGACACCCTGGACATAGTTCAAAAGGTTTGAAAAAGTTTCCTCAGGAAGAAATTCTTCGTCCTATTCATTTCTCAACCAAATGACACACCAGTGTTTCAAATTTAAAGAGCACACAATACTATATGCAGAAGTCCTAACTAGATGTTGATATTGCTTACATACTAAGTAGAGTCATGGGCTATGACTCTGTTTAGACTATATACAGCTGCTTTGATTTGATGCTCCCCATACATTTCAAAGTACATGGAATTTGAAATCCTATTGATCATTTCACAGATTCTACAGAATCCCAAAATAACCATTCCGACTCTCCCAAGAGAGTCCCAAAACTCTCCCAAGAACTCCAGAGGATGATGGTGATGAGTTGAATCTTTTATGATGGTCACAGACCAGAATAAAAATTAAAACATTAAAATAAAATGAGATGTAATCATGTATTATAATTACTGGTAATATCATTGAAGGGTGATCAAAGTATCCCTAATTTTACAAACAGTATAGCAGAATTTAGATGACTTCAAAGAAATTGTATCATACTGATCTCATAGTAACAGCTGTATCAAAGGGAGATTAGAATTTCTTGACTATTTTGTGAGGTAAGGCGTTATGAGTCTCTGAATCCTTATAAAGGACATGAGGTGTGGTTTCCATGGTCCCTTGTCCTGATCACCTGATACTGATGATAGGTTAGCTGTGTCATTATTAGAGGGAAGAAAAGCTGAAGAAAATAAAAGAGATAGTTTCAAAGTACAGCTTTATGAAAGAGAGCCAAGTCATGCTGTTTTACCTCACTGAAGTAGAGCATGATGTCTTTACAAAGATCTCTCTACCCAAATGGTTCCTTTTTTTTTCAAAGTAGATCTTAACCTATTTGAATCAAGACATTGTATTGCCCATCTATTTTTCTCAGCCAATCAACACCATCAGAAACATCACTTCATTCTTTAGATATCCATCATGCTCTCCCATTTTTTACTTGGGTTTTTAAACACCTTTTAACCAAGACCAACAGACCAAAAGAAAGCCTTTCCTCCCAGCATTTCTGCAAATGGATATTGACAATTAAATTTTGATATGAATTGGTTGAACAACCATCCTCTCTTCCAATCTATACTCAGTGCACAAAAGTGGCACCAGCAGTCTTTATCGGAGGTATTTCCCTGATGTGTCCCTACCAGAACTATGCTGGGCAGCCATGTGGACTCACCTTTCCATTTTCATCTAGCACTATAAATTTGGCCTTTACCCCCCAAAAGGCGCAAGCTTGAACTTCTTTTTAGACAGGTTATTTATGCTAAAATGTATCAACTGGTTAATTTTCTAACTGCAGCTGGTTTAGGTGACCACCTGTGGATTCAACTTATCTTCTAATCCCACTTGGCCTTAGATCCAATGTCATCCTTAGCAGTTGAAGTAAATTGGCAAGTTATGAACAGTCATAGGCAAGAAAATCTGTAAATTCTGGAAGATTTCAAATGTAGTTATATAACTTACATGTGAATTTCAGTGTTTTGCAAAGCATTTTGCGCCTCCCCCCCCCCCCACTTTACCTATTTTCTCATTTTTCACTACAGACAATCCAAGCAACAGGATAGGGCCTTATTTTATTCCAGTTATGCAATTAGAGAAGTGTCTCACGTGGAGTCCATCTCACTGAAAATCAGCAAGCAATCGACAGGTTGTTAACTATATAAACTATTTGCACAACAAGCAAAGCTTATAATTGACAGCCATGCAAACACATCTTAAATTGTACCATTTAACTCTCACATAAAATCCTCAGATAATTTACTGGATCGTCCCAGGCCACAATTCTGAATCCATGCAATACCCATCTTCTCCTGGTCTCAATTAAGAAGAAAGTGTTCTTTAATTTTCAAGAATTATCAAGAATATTTGAAGCTAGCATCACAACTAGCCTGATCTTCCTCCAGAAGCCAAAGAGCCTTACAACTCTGTGCCACATTCTAGAATTAAACTTCTCTACGTTCTGCTCCTTTGTGGTTTCTGTGGATACAATTATACGTAGCTACACTGAACCAAGTTGGGTCATAAGTAGGAAGAGTTTTACTCGTGTTCTGTGCATACCGATCAGGATTACCATTGTGGGAAGATTCATACAGCCAGATTCTCAGTTGCATCAGGTAAGTAAAGCCCACTTACCTAAAGGTAATCTTAAGTGCAAAAACTGATGAGAACCAGGAACTGCATGATTCTTTTAGTATTCAAAGGCCTGCTCACCATCCAGCTGCTCTTCAACAAAATGTAGAAATAATTTGCCCCACTATCTCAATATACCCTTCTCTTGCTATTAATGGATAACAGTATGGATGGCTAAATTTTCTTTACTGAAGCTAACTGCAGGAAGTCCCTGTCCACTCACATATAGTTATGGCTATCTTGGCTGCCACAGCCACTTCTTAAAAGCTTTTTCATAGATGTTTGTTACTCCTAGAAGGAACCAGAGCATGAAATGCTCAAATGAGATCTTTCTTATTATCGCCCATCCTTCTAGATTTAACAAGGCCTGAGAAGGGGGGAACAAGCCAGAGGTCCTGACAAGGCAATCAACTACTGTGCCCGATGAAACGTATTTTTCAATCATACCATCCCACCAAGTTCTGCCTTAAACTCAATGTTTACTGGGCTTTTGTGAAGTTGTTTTGTAGCTGGGGGAAAGCAGTTAGGTAGGTAGGTATCTGCATAGCTGGACTGTGGATGTGCGTGGAATCCAGTATCATATCTGCTCTGATATCCAGAAGTGGGAATGTCTTGTAGAGATCAAAACAGTCACAAGAGGCAAGGATTCATGAAGGTCATCAGAATTCTTAACAGCCACTAGTCAAAAACAGGCCGACTGGAACAGACAGGATAGTGCAAACCCCATGACCAAAATGAGGGAGTCAAACCCTAGTCAGGTGGATAGGGAGCCAAGTCCCCAAAGACTGTAAAATGGGTGCAACTCTATTTTGGGCTTATTACACTAGGTTTTGAGGGGGGGGGCAGTTCCAAAGGGGTTCAGGACCATAATCCAAAATGCAGTTATATAGGACACAGTATTAAGAGATACGTGTAAGGCTTAAGGCACCTATTTT